CATCCAATTTTCGATACACTCAAAACAGAACAAATGGTTACAGGCGTCCAGCTTGCCATAAGGGTACTTCAGTTGCCTCAGACAGATCGCACAATCATCGCGATCATTGCTCGCGTCCGCTTGCATTTCTAGTTCTAATTGTTTCAATGCTGTTTGTGAGAGGAGTCGCCTTACTCCTTAGGCACAACCGAATGGGACAACCAGAGGATATAAAACTGACTCATGTGCAATATTTGTGCTCTTACAAATTTGTGCTCTTACTAAAATTTACACATTTCACAAGAACTAAAAAATTCTATCAACAAAGCAGGAGAGTAATTCTGCACACAGTCAAGCTTACTAGGGAGTTATTTATTTTATATATAATAAATTACAGTAAATCTTTAACAAAATACACAAAAAGAGTGGGTACGATCACTTCCAAATGCAAGCTGTATGATTACAAGCAAGCTGTAACTCGTGTGGAAGATTTACTACGTCAAGCAGATTCGAATTTTTTCGATCTTTGACTTGCTTCACTTTGAAGGCATTTCGAATACCACAACAAGCCGCATAATGCCGATTATTTCTGGATTCAACTGCTTAAGGCCGTATAATGCACGAGTTTGGACGACGATATAAAAAGCTGTGTTATAGTTTCCTTAGATGTTGTCTGGTAGCTAAGTTATTCCTTTCTAGGAATATTGAGTTTCCAAGCTCGTTTACATTGCCCATGCGCAGTTTGTATTGAGTTAATGAAGATATTTCCTAACTAAACGTGCAAAAAAATGCGTGATCGCACCAGTGACACCAGTAACAAAAAATGCGTGTTTGTGCAGCTATCAATTTTTTTTTAGTCAATGAATGGGAATGCAAACAGTGGCACTGGTGGCAGCAGCGGCTGGTACACGCCGTATTTGGGCGGTGGCAACGGATATACGCCATATCTCGGTGGTGGCGGCGGATTCACGTCTTATTTGGGCGGCTATAGTCCGTATTACAGCGGAAGTAGCAGTTACATTCCTTATTTCGGCAGCAGTGGCGGTTACAGTCCCTACTTCAGTGGCAGCGGCTACTATCCTTATTACGGTTTTGGATATAAAAAGAAATGATTCTGCTTACTTGCTTGTTGTTTAGTAAAATTGCTTCCATCCTGTTTGTTAAAAAAAAAGTAAAAAAAAAAATGAAAAGTTGAGTCCTCAACTGCACATTACTTTGATGCACTGATCAACTGATGTTCCAGGCCTAGTGAGCACTGGTGCTGAACAGACTCCACATTTTGCTCTCCTTTGAGCTCGCTACACCTACGTAACTTCAGAACAAATGCACATGTGCTTTTCTCAAGTTTTATAGTGGCAGACTTGTGCGTGTTGGTACATTCATTTGTTAGGTGCGTTCAGACAGCCAATGTTACATAGTTCCTGAATGGCACTATCCAACCAATACTCGATCGAAAAATAACTGATGGTGAATTTTTATTAAAATACCATTATCATTTTCTGTCTAAAATGTTAAAATTTGGCACAAATTCCTGGCAAAAAAGGAAATCGTGCTTGTTCTAGACGCATCAAAAAAGTCTGATAGTTGTTTTCCTTCGGTAAGTGAAACCGA